TGTGTGACCTCCTGCCATGACTGGTGACTATACACATAGGTTATAGGAAGGGAGACCGCTATAGGGCTTCAATGCTGTTATGCGCACTCAGGAGCTGGAAGACGGGCTATGTCATCAACATGTGGTCAGGAAATTGACAGGTCAGCAGGTGTTAGGCTGGGCTGAGAATCCTCCTCAGACATAGAAAGCCGGAAGACGGGATACATCATCAGTATGTGGTCAGGTGGTTGAGGGGGCCAGCAGGTGTCAGGGAGGGCAGAGAAAAGTGACAGTCCTGTTATGTACACTCAGGAGCCGGAAGACAGACTGCACTAGTATTAAAGCTGTGATGTATCCTGTGTTCTCCTTTAATAAGAGAGCAGAGGGCAGGATGAGGGGTCATTGTTCTGTCCCCAGATCATTACCAGTGTTTGGATGAAGTTTATGTCAACGTCCTGTAGAGAAAAGCAGAGAAGGGGATCACCACATGGCACGCAGACCCGTGACTTAGCGCACTGACCCAGGATGGAGTGCGCAGACCCGTGACTTGGCGCGCGCAGACCCGTGACTTGGCGCGCGCAGACCCGTGACTTGGCGCGCGCAGACCCGTGACTTGGCGCGCGCAGACCCGTGACTTGGCGCGCGCAGACCCGTACGACCTGGGACGGAGCACACAGACCTATGACTGAGCACACAGACCCGGGACGGAGCGCGCAGCATCAGGACGGAGCGCACACAGACCCGCAATTTAGTATCCAGACACACAAGAGCACACGGATCTGCGACAGAGTACACAGACCTGCTATTTAGCACACAGACCCGTGAAAGAGCGCACAGGCCTGCGACAGAGCACGCAGTCCCCCCATTTGGCACCCAGACCCGTGAAATACAAAAGCCGCAGGGCATATAAATCTGCTGTGCGCTCCAAATACTATTGCAGCTCCAGATCTTACCTTGTGTGTGTATTAGGAGTCCAGCACCACAAATTGAGGCCGAAACATACACACGGGGTGTTCACAGGAGGGTGAGGAGTTTGAAGAAGGGAACAATTTAGGACAACAAAGCTGAACCAGAAACATTCTCCCATTCAGTACACTTTCCGGTTCAGTTTTGTTGTCCTAAATTGTCCCCTTTTCCGGCCTCCTCCGAACTCCTCACCCTCCTGTGATCGTCCCTGACAAGTCATAGGGTGACCTGACACTTCCTGTCCACTAGAGGGAGCCGTTGTCCTGCAGTGAATGGCGCGGGCCTGTCGTGTGACTGAGTTTGTCTCACCCACAGATACCGCACTTATATTGCGATTTCCGTTCTGATCTCCTTCTGATTGGATCTGGTCATCTTTAACCCTTCATGGACTGCAGATATGCAATAGCTGGACTCCGGCCTCCCCTTCAGTCTTGCACAGTTGTACCGGCTCCTCTCCTGGACAGAAACGGCTTCCTCTGATTTCAGTGCACGCTGCGAGCGCCTCACAATGTGCATTAGAAGCTGCGGCATGTCAGATAGAACCCGCCTCATTTCCTGGCTGGAGGCGCCCAGCATCATCTAGCACTTTATTCCCCAGCCTGATTTCAGCTCTTTCAGTCATGGAGGTTCAGCGTCACAAATAGTAGTAGCAGATTGTCCCATGTTTGACCCAGTCTCTGATGTTCACTTGTCCTTTGTCTCCCCACAGATGTGTCCCTCTACTCTCACGGACAGCGCCTGACTAATGGGTAAGTGTCCAATCCCTACACCCCGCCATGACTTTCTAACACTGGAAACAAAATAGATAATTCCTCCTTCCAATAATACTAGTCAGGGATTGCTGGGATCCTCATCCCCCTGCTCCTGTCAT